GGGAAGCGAGAGCAGAAGAGAATATTATAGATGCCAATATCTGAGGGAGTTCCTACCGAGTGTTTGAATGCCCTGCATGAGTGTCCTCTCTGTCGAGGGGCATCGTCCGTAAGGAATGAAATGAGACACTGGCTGTCAGGGCTTGTTTGGTAGAATGGCTGCTAGTCAGCCATAGATGGAGATGGTACAAGGGCAAGCAGAGTGGGTGAACAGTTGGAGAGGCGGTCCCATACCGAGAAGGTCACTGGAGGGACCTTAGCGCCAGATAAACAGTGTTTATCAAACTCAATAAACTCGACACCTCTGTCCCTGACAGGAGAGGTCAACTTAAAAACAATGAACTTGGTTGCGAGACACACAGGTCTTTTTTTTTAACAGCTGTTTCAAGGAAATCTGGACTCCAGATTGTACGTACTGCAATACAAAAAACTGCAGGGCTTTTTCTAACATTTCTAACAGATTTTGCTTATTTGTTCAGTTGTCCTTGATTTTTGTACTTGTACTATAGGCAAGTAGGCTACTTAGTTAATTTGTTTCTTTTTTATCTGTGTTTATTGTTGATGTACAATCAGAAATCTGCAAAAGGTGTTTTATTTTGAAAATTGACCGGATTCTCTATGTCGTTCTGTGCCTGGTTCATCTTCTCTGTGCTGCTTGACATGGCTTCCATCAAAAATAGACTGGCAGTGAATATTGAACTTTAGCAAAACTTCAATAGAAACAATTGTAAATCGAATTGTAATCACAATATTTGGCAGAAAAATCGCAATTAGATTTCCTTGATTTCCTCCCTGTTGACAATTTTATTGCTCTATCCCCAAGAAAAACATTCCTAAGCCCCAAGAAGTATGCCAAGAAGCAGGGAATGTTTTTAAGGAAAGAGTGTATGTCCTCCATATGCAGGTCAGTGGGCCATTTGGTTCCTCTGACGTGTGTGAATTAGATTAGGTCCCTCTCACAGTCAAGACTTAATCATGTACTAAAGCACAGTTCTGCCAGCTCCCATTAGACACCTGTAGTGCAAAAAGGCCTCAGACAGGACCAGCAGTAGGGGACAAAGACGCACCATGAGTCCTCAAACACCTGTGACTACGACGCCACACTGCACTGTTTTCACCTTACTGCACTGACACTAAACCAGAATGCAAGCAAACATACAAAAGAGATCCACATCACCACTTACAGTAAATACCGCCAAAACCTATCATGGTGCACATTAAAACCAACACTCTCCCTCACAAACAAGCACAACAACCGGTTTACATCAACTGACAAACAAATCCAGAAACTGATCTTTACTCCAAACATTGCTCCTACAACAATTCCTCCCAAAGAGGAAGCATCAGCCAAGATGGCGTGTCTTAATTTCAGTGGAGCGCAGAGTGGTCCTGTGGTTATGGGACTTCGACGACATACCTAATCAGAACTGATGTTGGGAAATATAGTTAACGTTCCCCGCGTGGTGCAGGGAGGTGGATTGGGTTTGTTAGTGGTTGGAAAAGCAAGAAGTGGCTAAATGTATGGCTCACACACACAAACTCATAATTCACATGAACAAGGAGTTCACCAGAATTCAATTTCAGATTTAAATAAGTCTTTAAAGTATTTTCATAGCTTATGCAAGTAAACACACAGAACACAACCTGTTGTCTCGTGATTAAGGCCATTTCAATTACTCTATCTGTGATTAGACTCAGCCCAATCTGGCCTGATCGAGGCTTGTCCTCACAGGAGAAGTAGGTGAAACCTGACACACATCTCGACCTTAATGCACTTTGTCAGCCTCCATTTGGCCTGAGCCAAGAAACACATAACCTACAACTAAATGGGCAGAGGAAGTTGGGGCAAGGTATTAATGTTGGCAGTTCATCTCACACTGAATTTTACATGAATACACTGTGTGCGTTCTTATGTGCACCTTTCTAGCAGTTCTTTGCATTGTATGCGTGGTTAACCAACCTCCCAGGTTTGCCTTAAGTCAACAAAAAGTCACCATCATAATGCAAAGGAACCGTTTACACATGTGGTTCTTCTAACTCTAACCATTGAGATAAGGTACTTAAAGACTTTCTTGGAAGATAGTTTTTCTGTTTACCTGTTGCACATAAGACAAAAGACCATTTTTGCCACTGCCTGTTGGAGCTGTCCTTGAGTTTTCATTGCATGCTGAGAAACCGATATGTGTAGAGTAAAACAAATTCCTGCTTCTTTTAATGTACTCTCTAATCACACGGAATCTAATTGAACAAGCAAACCGGATGTATTATGCTTTACTTTAACAGTGTCTCAGGTTACCAAGAAGAAAGCAAACTACACTCGGGCATGCAAACACACCTGTTCTCAAGAGGAATAATACTGTAACACTTAAATCATGTTTGGTTTTGGTAAAACAAACCCTATCAGGAACCATGAGTAGCCGCGTGGATGAAGATCTTTAAAGCCTAAACACTGGCTGAGGTTGCACTCCAACATAATCATCATAATCGAATATCATCAGCATATAAAAAGTGTAGTTTTCATTATATCGTGTCCATAGCCGGGGGCATATGAGACGGAAAATCGGAATGTGTAAATACAGAAACTGGAGCGTAGTTTCACGCGAATGTTAATTCCTTTTCCTAAAAGAATGTTTCCACGTCCAGACATGGGAAATCCATGGTTCCTGCTTCTCCTCAGCATGTGGAGGCTGAGGTGACGCTGATAGGAGGCTGGTTTGGAATAGAGCCATGCTTGATGGAAGTCTGGACATTTCTAAATGATTATCTATGGCTGGATATAGATTTAAAAGACATTACAACCCATCAGGGAAGGACATCCATCATCGCCTGCAGACATAGAGAACCAGGGGTTGCTCATTTGCAGGGATTACAGAACTACTGTGACCAAATTTACTCAAACTAAACATTAATGATATTAAAAATGCATGTGTTTTTGAAATATGTGCATCCAAGGCAAGCCATGCTACCTTTTGCTGATGCAAGCTGACTGCAAGGGCAGCTGGCTGTGGCAGACACAGACAAGAGGCCAACTATAAGGTGGGCAACTCCCATATCCACAATCCATGGCCACGGGCAAGACATGAGCCAATACTACTCAGATGACTACTGTTAAAATAATCTTACACCCATTCGTGTTCAGTTCACTGCCTTTTTCTTCGGAGGTTAGTCTGCTCTCCTGTGCTGCAGCGAATCGCCGGGAGCTGCGCCGGTTTCAGCACCATACAGGCGTGGACCAGAACAAAAGGTGCAGGCTGCAGCAGCAGCAGCAGCAAGAGAGAGGCGCACCGGGACGCAGCAAGACAGCGACAGATCCCGCAAATAAAACGCAATGTAACCCATTAGTACCACATGTACAAACCCGGAATACTTAATTAAAAAAAAAAATCTTCAGTGAAGAGAGACCAAGAGACAAACTCACTCGCGAGTAACTAACTCATTTCATATCTCTAAATTCATACATAACTGCACATCACACCATGACGCGCTCACACACAAACAGCTGAGGATTAGTGGACAGCAGTGACAACATAATACACTACACTATGACTTTTTTAAAGAAACTTTCACAGCTGCCATTGTTGTATCAAAATAGTCGAGACTCTACATTAATGCTGGTTTGAGAAACCATAAAGCATTTCCCATTGAATGATAAACAAAGAGCTTCATCTCTTACCTGGAGGTTTAGGCTGCTGAGCGGCACTAATACCCTTGTGTGTGAAGAGGGCTGTAGTGACAATGAGCGCTATATGGGGCCCTCTGTTCCCTCCCACCGCAAATTAAGCTACCGTAAGTGCAGCAGTGTTGGCGCAACGGGATTGTACGAGAGGCAATCCCTCCCTGTGATTATATGATTCATTTGTGACATTTAAGGAGTGCAAATGTGCAACAAACGCATGCAAAAACACTTTGTCACAGACATAGGCTGACATGAAGTCAGGCGGAACACCCAGCAGGTGTGGAGTGCAAAGTGAAATGTCGAGTCGCTGTTACAAGAGCTTCTGCAGCTCAGCACCCCATATGAGCTGCTCTGCTAAAGGGGGGGGGGGGGGGGAGCACACTGTCCGCAGTGGAAATGAGTGCAGAGCTGAAGCACCGGGGTGTGGCTGTTGCTGAGGAAAAAGATGGAGAAGGGGGGAGGAAAAGAGGGAAGGAAGAGATAACGAAGATGCGATGCCAAGGCGAGAGTGGGAAGGAGGGGCGGAAAGGAAGGAGAAGAGGAAAATGAGGAAGGGGGAGGGATGGGGGAGCGGTAGAAGAAGCATCAGTGTGCAGTAGCTGCACTTCTGCCCCCCCCGCCCCATGACCCCCTCCCTCCCAGGTGAGGTATGGCGTCCCTCAGCTGGCAGTGATGTGGGTTTTGGGGGGAATGAGAGAGTCGGACTAGCATGCTGCACATTTACAGGCACCTGATCCACCAGGAAGCACAGACATGGTAATGCAATGGATATAATAGTAATAATACATTCAAGACATTGCTAATAATTTCTAAAACGCAAATAGACAGATTTTTGCATGTGCTAAAAAAATCTATAGAAGGTAAATTAAAAGAAAATGTGGTCCCCAACTTGTGAGAGATAAGCTTGAAACTTCGTAAAGGTGCTTTAAATCATCCAGTCACATTCAACAGTCTGCTTTTGCCTGCTGCATGTGCCGCAATGGAATTAAACTGAAGCCTTGTCATTTCTCATTTCTTTACAAGCTTTATACGTGCATTTAATGCCACCTATTGACAGAAATAAGACGATGCACAGGAGATGCTGATGAACTTTGGGATCAATTTAATGATACATCATTAACAATTCATCCCTAAGCTTTTCCATTAGCCTCAACTCAAGTCACACCTTGACAAACTCCTAAAATCTTAACTAGGGCTGGACAATAAAATAATAATTATCGTGATATAATCTTTTAAAAATAATATAACGTGTTCAATAAATGTTTGATTTTATTGAATCATACACGAATTAGGAATATAAAAAAGAGAAGACGTAAATGGCAGAATCTAATTCTTTACATTGTTTTTTTAATATTCATATCCTTGTGAGGGTCCTCATAAGTACAGAGAGCAATAGCAAAAATGTACACACACTTCGACCAATATGAACTTTGAAAGCATGGCACAATCTACTATGTAAAGACATTAAGAATCAAGTCAAAACATTTAATATGACATAAATAAACCAATATGTAATATGTCTCAGACGTTCTCGATGCTGTGCTAAAACAACACACTGCTTAAATTCTTGATCAAGGCTGTGGGTTCTAAACAACACTGGCTAATAAAACATACTGTAGAATGTATTTATTTCATCAAGTGGATAGCCACGGTAGCAAATTTTCAGTGTTGACATAAAGGCATGTTTATCTGAAAAATTATTTAACTACATTTACAAAAATGCAATGCAATTTTTATCTGGAATCTATTATTTTTAAATGCACTATACACTATATACACAAATAACACTACAGTGAGCAGTAAAGTGACAGAAACCGTCGAGCCATTATTGCTCTTTCAAATTTACATGTTAACATCTAAAATCAACCCTGTAAACCTACGGCATTAACAATCACTGATAAAGAAAAGACAACCTGGACATTTCTTACTTCTGGCCTACAATTGTACGAGCAATGAGCTCTTTCATGATCTCATTGGTGCCTCCATAGATGGGCTGAATACGGGCATCCACAAACGCCCTGGAAAGACAGAGAGACAAGTTCAGCAACTTGTTGATATAAACAATCTGGTATTCCTCCCAAAGTTTAGACCCAGCCTCTCTGTTACACAACTTAAGTGCCACTTACCTGCCAATGGGGTATTCCCACATGTAGCCCCAGCCTCCATGGAGCTGCAGGCACTGAGTGGCCACCTTGTTCTGGAGGTCAGACGACCTGGAGAAAAGACAAAGTACATCAGCAAATGGCAGCAATGTGGCCTTTTTTTTTTAGATTAAGAGCTGTTTAGAAGCAGGTAAATACAAAGAAACACTTCCCACCAGAACTTGGCCATGGAAGCAGTGGAGGCATCCAGGCGTTTCTCAGCGTGGAGCTGAAGGCAGTTATCTATGAAGGCTCGGCCCACACAGATCTCAGTCTTCAGCTCTGCAAGCTTGTGCTGCACAGTCTGTGGAGGTACATTAGATGCAATTATATTTGTTCTCCTAAAAGAGAGCATAAAATGCTAAGCATTTCCATTAGGCAATGACATCAGTTTCTCAGACCTGTAGGTGAGAGATAGTCTTGCCGAAAGCCTTCCTCTGTAACACATAGTTCCTGGTTTCCTCAAACATGAACTCACAGGCTGCTATGGCCATGGCAGCAATCACGAGACGCTCCTATTCCAAAGAATGATATGATGATTTATCATCAAATTAACCAAACCAAAACAATTATTTGCTAAGTCAAACAACACCTTGAACTTGTTTCAGCGTGTGGAAGTACTTTGTTCTGTTACATAGGTACTTCCACACGCTGAAACAAGTTCATGCAAAGAAAGATCAGAAAAGCAAAACACAAAAATATTTTAAATGTCATAATATGTTGCATCTAGGAGGGGGAAAATATTGATAGTGCAACATGAAAAAAAGTTCATATTAATAGATTTTTCTTGTCTTACTTCTATTTTTGGGGTAATTACGCTCGAGGTTTTGGAACAGTTCCCATAATTTGGAGGCTTTGGGGATGTACACAGAAAATATAATTTTGCCATGGAGTCAGTTAGTTACCTGCAGGCTACAACCTGAGCCCCATTTTTTTAAGCCAAACTGGCATCTTTAAAAGTAAGCTGAATTACCTATTAACAGTTCCTTTTCACAGTGTACCCAGGGATATACAGACTATCACTGGATTTCTTTTATAATAAAGAAACCTTCAAAATGTGAAGATTCTCAGGGAAGTTCTGTTGTAATGTGGAGCCTCTTTCTTTTCTGCACTTTCTAAGCAGATTTATGAATGTTTATTCACACTGAACCTAAAACTGAAAACCTCTGTAAATAAAAGTTAGGGGACGTCAAATAACTCCTAAGCCACTGATTTCAATGTATTTGTCATGTTCCCTTCACCTGAGGCAGTTCATTCATCAGGTAGTAGAAACCCTTGTTGACTTCCCCTAGGAGGGCATCAGCTGGTAGCCGCACATCCTCAAAAAACAGCTCAGCTGTGTCCTTTGAAAGAAGGAGAAACAAATAGTGAGACAACCAGCCTCTAGCGGGATTGATGGAACTTCATCTTCCCAAGCCACTGAGCTCTGGTACCTGGGCCTTCAGACCGATCTTCTCCAACTTGCGCCCTTTCTGGAAGCCCTTCATGCCGTCCTCCACCAGGAACAGACTGATGCCATGTGCTGCCGTCTTCGCTTTGCGGTTTGTCACGGCCACTACCACCACCAGGTCAGCCATCCAGCCGTTTGAAATGAAGACCTGGAGAGGCGAGATGGAAAACAGGTCAAGCTCATGTTGAGATGCAATGAAATGTCCATTTCTTTTATGTATGATCTTTTAATATTATTATTATTAGTCCTCTCCTCTCTAGGGGCCTCATGTATAAAAGACTGCACAGATTTCATCCTGAAATTTGAAAAGTATGTACACACAGAAATATCCACATACAAAACCAGGCGTACACCAGGTCCAGCGCACCTTTCCTTTGTACATCCCAATCAACGCACCTTGGCTCCTCCCATACATTACTATGCAAATGACCAGAAATACACCAGCGTCAACCGTGGCCAATCCTGCTGCAAAACGTGAAAAAGAGAAATTTCACTCAGTGCCAGATCAAGTTGCTGGTCACTGAAGTATAGAAGAGAAGAAATATTTCATTTGATGGTTTTAATTCTTTCAGCAACCAATCAGCAACAAACGCAAAACGACGGAGTGCCTTAGTGTTACAATAACAGTCAATCTAGCTGACTCAGAGACTCATAATGGCTGAAATAAAGAAAACATGGTCTGACGTGTCCAAAAAGACAGGAAAACAGTTTTTCTAATACAGAAATCTAGGTGTTTGTAGAAAGCACAGATTGTGAACAAGCTGCATTAAACAAACAAAAGAAAATTCTGAGAGTTGTTTAGAATGATATTTTTCTAAAGAAAGACATTAGGTAGAAAGGTAAACCATATATACTGTTGATCACATCAGACACACACCTGTCTGCTCCCGCTGCCAGAAACAGTGGTTATAGCCTACATGTATTTGTACCGGGATGGCACGGTTACGCCAGGTCGGTCTGTCTAATGCTGGACCCAGTTTAGCACACAGATCCAAGAGCATGACTCTAGGGAATCTAAAGGGCAATATTAGCCAGTGATCATGGGCTAGGAAATCTTCATGGACACTCTTAATCCTTCCACTCGTGTTTTCCTCTGCAGTGCCATTGCGCAGCCATGCAGCATTACGCAGAATGTCACGCAGTATTTATGTTTACAGCAGTTATACAGAGTACTAAACACCTTGCCAAAATGATCTCTTCAGTCAGTGATCTCCCCCACCCTGGGATATCATTTGAAGATGGAGGTTTGACAGGTGACCCATTTTTTATGTCGGTTTTGTTATGTTTGGCCTGCATCATCATGAGGACTGATGGTGAGGATGGAGAGTAGAGATTGTGTGAGAGCTGTCCCTGGCTTTATTTCCAGACATTTTTAATTTACACAGTCCATATGTGTAGGTGGTGAAGATGTGCTGGTGAGTCGAGGTAAGAAGGCAGATCTGTTTGTGCGCCATCGCGGCTTCTCAGTGCGCTCTGTACACCTGACAGCACAGTCTTGTTCACTGCACCGATTTTATACAGGAAAAATTACTGAGCTGTCTTCTGCAATTCTTACGTAACCTTTTTGTGGGTAGGCAGCGTTTACACACAAGGCCCCTGGAATATTCAGTCAAGACTGAGAGAGGATCTCTGTTCCCCAAAACATCCTTTAACATTTATTTATTTATTTATTTATTTTGTCCATGCCGTTTTACAACATTTTGTTTGGCTTTTTTTTCAGACCAACCATAAACACACACATTTCCATGAATGGAAAAAAAAGGAACTGGAAGAAGAAAAATCTTGTAGTACCGGTTGCTTTTTGTGCACATCAAAAGAAAGAGAAAAACAGCTGCTTTATGAATGGATAAACCCCAATCACCGAACATTTCAGTAATACCTATCTTTACACTTAATTATCATCATTTTAAAATCTTTTTTTTTTCTACCTTTTTAAACGTGTTTATCATGATTTTTCTTGTAACATTCCTGTATGTTTTTCTTAGACAAATTCTTAAATTTACAAACACTTTTGCAGCACTTCAGTTCATAGTCCAAGGTGCTCCACAATTTAACTCCGTAAATAGACAAACACATCTTTTTTTGTGTAGTACGTGTGAAAAGAGTTTTAAAATAATATTGCCTTCTATGGCCATCTTCCTCTGATACAAGAGTGAATAAATGTTGTAAAACCATAGGCAGAACTCTCTGCTTTATTTTCCACATAAAAATCAAAATCTTTGAATTTTAGAAGTCCAGAATTTACAAATAAACTATTGCCTGCCTGTCTTGTTGATGATCCTTAATGCTTTTTTCTGTAACAAAAACAGAGGTTTTGTGTTACTAGGGTATGCATTACCCCAGACTTATTAGTAATCTCTTAAGGATTAGGACAACTGCACCAACTCCAGCACCTAGAACAAACACATTTAAAATGGCTCTCTTCAATGTGAGATCTCTCTCAAGTAAGACTTTTATCTTAAATGATTTTATCTTATCTGAAAATCTAGATTTTATGTTTTTAACTGAATCCTGGTTGCAAATGAATGACTATAGCCAGCTAGCTGAACTGTGTCCGCCTCAATATGATTGTTTTAGTCAACCGAGGGTCAGTGGTCATGGTGGTGGGCTAGTGAGCGTGTATAGGAAAAATTAAAAATGTCATCAAGTACGCTGTGATGAATTTAACTCCTTTGAAGTTCTCACTCTTAAACTTGGAGGGCTGCAACCTATCATATTTGTTATAATTTATCGCCCCCCAAAACCGCCTGGAGGATTTTTATCAGAACTTCCAGATTTTTTATCTACTCTGCTTTTAAATTATGACAGAATTGTTCTTTGTGGCGATTTTAATATTCATGTTGATGACCCCACCAATGTTAATGCAACTGACTTTTTAAATATGGCCACTTCTTTTAACTTCAAACAACATGTCAAAGGGCAAACCCATAACCGTGGTCATACACTGGACTTGGTTTTTACCCTGGGTGTCAGCATTTCCTCTGTGGAATTAGTGGACATGACAATATCTGACCACAGATGTATTGTTTTTAGCTGCGATTTGCCTGTTACTCATGCCGCCTCACCAAGCTCTGTGTGTTCTCGCATCTTTAATGAACAAAGTGTTTCAAACTTTTGCGCATTCTTTCAGAGCCAAAGCCAACACCTGTCTGATTCCAACACCAACAATCTGGTCGATCACTTCAATCATATCTGCTTGTCGTCACTAAATATTACTGCTCCTCTAAAGGTTAGGCCTACATCTAAAGCTAGTAAGCAACCCTGGATAAATGACAGCATTCTCAGCCTCAAAAGGGAATGCAGGAAAGCAGAGCGCAGATGGAAAAAATCCAGTCTCCAAGTCCATTACCTTAGTCTGAAGGATTTATTAATTAACTACAATAACATGGTTAAGGATGCGAGAACACACTATTTTTCTGAACTCATTACTACACATAAACACAACCCCAGGTTTCTGTTTAAGACTGTGGATCAGCTGGTAAACCCAACCCCTCCTTGTGCCTCTGCTGGAAGTAATGATGACTGTGAATTGCTTTTATCTTATTTTACCAATAAGGTGGTGTCAATCAGAGCCTCCATTACCCCTGTGGCCTCTTACTCAGAGGTTCCTCACCAGCAACAAGAGAGTTTTAACCAGTTTTATCCCATCGACTTGTCTGAGCTTTTAAAAACAGTATCACAAATGAGAGTGTCCTCCAGCCCACTTGATGTAATACCTACAAAGTTTTTACTGAAAGTAATAGATTCTGTTGGGCTCCATTTGATCTCTGTTTTCAACAGCTCCCAATCTACTGGTTGTGTCCCTGATTATTTTAAAACGGCTTGCGTGAACCCACTTTTAAAGAAACCTGGTTTAGATCCCTCCCTCCCACATAATTTTAGACCAATTTCAAAACTGCCTTTTATTGCAAAGATTCTAGAAAGAACTGTGTCCAAACAGCTGCTCATTGTACTGGAAAATAACAAATTATTTGAAAAGTTTCAATCTGGTTTCAGGAAGTACCACAGCACTGAGACTGCCCTGCTTAAAGTCACCAATGACCTTTTAATGTCTGCTGATGAAGGCATGTGCTCAGTCCTGGTACTCCTGGACCTTAGCGCTGCTTTTGACACCATTGATCACAACATCATGTTAGACAGACTGAGGCACTGGGTGGGGATCTCTGGTACTGCCCTAGAATGGTTTTCATCCTACCTGTCAAATAGGAAGTTTTGCGTGTCTGTAAACAACTATGTCTCTTTGTTCTGTCCAGTTAAATATGGTGTGCCTCAGGGGTCGGTCTTAGGACCCATTTTGTTTTCCTTGTATCTGCTTCCCCTTGGACATATTATCCATAAACATGGCATTTCTTTTCATATTTATGCTGATGACACACAAATATACTTGCCCGTCAGATCCACAGACCCTGGAATGCTGAGTTCACTTAACAACTGCCTTTGTGAAGTTAAAAAATGGATGTCAAATAATTTCCTCCAACTGAACTCCGACAAAACAGAAATCCTGGTCATTGGGTCCCAGCAGATGGCAAATCAAATACTGCCATCTGCTGGTTCCCTAGTAAATCACATTAAGCCTGTGGCAAAGAACCTTGGTGTTTGGTTTGATAGTAATTTAAATTTCGAGCAGCACACCACAAAGCTTGTTCAATCATGTTTTTATCAACTTAGAAATATAGCAAAAATTCGATCTATGTTAACTTTTAAGGACACCAAGACCATTTTACACGCCTTCATCTCATCACGCCTGGATTATTGCAACAGCCTTTTCACCTGTTTAACCCAAAAATCTATTGATCGACTCCAGACTGTCCAGAACTCAGCTGCCAGGCTTTTAACCAGAACAAAGAAATATGACCACATTACTCCTATTTTAGCTTCATTACACTGGCTCCCAGTATGTTATAGAATTGACTTTAAAAGTCTATTGATTACTTTTAAAGCTCTTCATGGCCTCTCGCCTTGTTATATTTCTGAACTTTTAGTCCCATACACACCAGCACGTACCTTAAAAACCTCGGGCAGAGGTCTGCTATCTGTTCCAGAGTCTCGACTGAAAACTAAAGGGGACAGAGCGTTTGCTGTCAGGGCCCCGAGGCTCTGGAACAGCCTGCCCAAGGGAAATCAGGTCAGCTGAGTCAGTGAACTCTTTTAAGTCCCTTCTTAAAACATACTTTTATAGGAGAGCCTTTCCCGATCTTATTTGACTTTATTTTATCCCTTTTATTTTATTCTATTTTACTAATTTTATATTTATCTTAAACGTGTATTTTAGTCTTTTCAATGTTTTCATGCTTTTATCTTGTATTGTTTTTGTATTATTGTCTCTTGGGTATTATTGTCTTTACACTTGTTAAAGCACTTTGTAACTTGTTTTTGAAAAGTGCTCTACAAATAAAGATTATTATTATTATTATATGCAATGAAGAATAGTCTAAAACATCTTTAACTTTATACAAGACCCCAATACTTTTACAAACTTTACTCTTAATATAATCTATGTGAGCATTCCAATTCAATTTATCATCCAAAATAACACCTAAAAACTTTATCTCATTAACTCTATCAATATCAGTTCCTTCAACTGCTATTCTTACATTTTCATTCTTTTTACGATTACCAAAAATCATGTACTTTGTTTTCTCCCAATTTAAACAAAATTTGTTTTTATCAAACCATTTCTTAATTTTTACCATTTCTGAACTTACATTTTCTGTAATTTCTGACAGATTATTTCCAGAGTAAAAAATGTTAGTATCATTGGCAAACAACAAAAACTGTAATATTTTAGACACAGAGGTCATTAATGAACAAAATAAAAAGTAATGGGCCTAAAACGGACCCTTGTGGAACTCCACATATTATATCTTTTAACTCAGATTTTAGACCATTAATTTGAACAAACTGCTGTTGATTGTTGAGATAACTTTTAAGCCATTGATGAGCTGGACCCCTGATGCCATAGTTGTATGATTTTGACAATAGCAGACTGTGATTTATGGTGTCGAATGCGAGTTCAATTAATGCTAAAGCTGTTGATCTTTTTGCTCTAAAGCCATATTGTTTTTCAGTAATTAATTTATGTTTTTCTAAAAAAGCATTTAGTTTTTGAGCAAACCACTTTTCAAGGATTTTAGAGCAATGACACTGGTCTGTAGTTGTTGAAGTGATGTACATCTCCATTTTTAAAAAGTGGAACAACTTTAGCGACCTTCATCTTCTCAGGAAAGACACCCGAATGTATAGACAAATTACAAATAAAAGTCAGTGGTTTAATCATACAGTCAATGGTCCTTTTTACAATGGTCATGTCAAGTCCGTCACTATCAGTAGATGTTTTATTTTCACATTTGCTAACAATAGACAAAATTTTATTTTCCTGAACCTCACCCAGGAACATGGACTGCATTATTCTACTTTCCATTCTACAGGTAGCATTTTGACTTTGGTTAGATGTATCAATTGATTTGGCAATATTTTCCCCAATATTAATAAAAAATTAATTAAATTCATTGGCCACATCTATGCTATTATTCAACAGTTTCATTGTACACAAAATATTCAGGTAACTTTGTATGTTGTGAATTTGGTTTCATTATATTATTTAATATTTTCCATGTTGTTTTCATATTTCCTTTATTATCTTTCTATCCTTGTAATAATCCCTTTTAGTTTCTCTTAAAATTGTCTCAGTTTATTTTTGTATGCTTTGTATTTGGCCTCACAATTGGGTGTCCTATTTTTTTACAAAATCTTTATACAATCTATTTTTCTTTTTGCATGCTTTAATTAATCCTAATGTCATCCAAGGTTTATCACTTTTAGGGTGTTTCTTTGACAGCTTTAGTGGGCAGCATTTATCATAGCTAGATATATAAATGTTTAAAAAGGTTTCATATGCTGCATTCATATCAGTCATATAGACACCTGACCAGTTCTGTTGTGAGAGCTCACTCCTAAAGTAATTTATTGTTTTCTCAGTTCTCACTCTAAAGTATGAAGGCTGACGTGAACTCTTGTATATCTCAGGTTGCATGTCATATATGGTAAAAACAGGCAAGTGATCGCTTAAGTCATTTATCAGTAATCCACTTTGAACAATTTTTTGAACATCATTTGTGACAATATTATTAATTAATGTGGCACACGAGCTAGTGATTCTGCTAGGCTGTGTAATTAGAGAAAAAAGAGATCTTGTATACAATGCATCTAAGAAATCTGAAGTAAACTTACATTTAGATTGATTGAGAAAATCAATATTGAAATCACCACTTATTAAGAATGTTTTGTGGTTATTCTGTGTATCAAGTAATTGTTCAAATTTGTCCTGGAAAATGTCTATTTTGGATCCTTGAGCTCTGTAAATGCAAGCAGCAATCACATTCCTGTTTTTTCCCATGTCGATTTCAACAGCTACACATTCAAAGATTCCCTCGATTGCAATAGACATTTTTTCAACAAGTTTGCATTTCAAATGACTATCGACATACAACGCCACACCTCCTCCTCTTTTTTTCTTAGAAAAACATAGAAACCTAGACTGTGTAAATGATAATGCATCCCTTTGCTCGGGGCCAGACGCCCGAAGCTGAATTTTAGTACCTCTGTTTATTCTCTTTTGTTAATAAATTCTTCAAAGACAACGGTTGGTTGTTACTCAATTATTTGCTTAATCCCTCACAAGCAAGATACAATTTCCACGACACATAACAAACAAGGGGATTTAAAAACTTTTTTAAAAAAAGGGGGAAAAAAGTAGGGGATAAAAACAGGCAGGCATTAAAACAAATTTAAGAGTAGCAAGACTTAAAGGACGCCCATGACCTCCTACTGTCTACCAGAGTTGTTGTAGGTAAGAGGAAATGTCCACTGAATTTATGCTAGCAGCAGGCTCGTCTTTTTTAGTTTGTTTTCCGGACTTAGATGCCATTACGATTGGTCGAGTTTATGATCAACAGATTAAGGGTCTGTGTAAAAAGGAAAAAAGTACCTTGTTGCCATTGAGGATCCAGTCGCTGCCATCCCTCTTGGCGTACGTCATCACGCCTTGAAGATCACTGAAAGGATAAAGGTGACGGTTCATCAAAGCTACACTACGTTAGCGGCATGCACGTTGATTATTTGATATTAATCTACACTTGAGTCCTGACCTGCCTGCTCCCTGCTCTGTCATGGCAATGGCGCTGATGCATTTCCCAGCAGTCATCTTGGGGATGAAGCGTTCAATCTGTTCCTTGCTACCATAGTTGCTGATGTAGGGCATAATAATGTCGGAGTGCAAGGAGAAACCCGGGCCTGTGCAGTTGGAATACGCTCTGGAGGACAAAAACAGATCTCAAAAAAAAGTTAGTGTTTCATCTCAGATATGATTAATTGTGTTTTTAATTTGGAGGACAACTCACTGCTCCTCCCACATGACAGCAACAGAAAACAGATCTCCTCCGATGCCACCATGCTCCTCTGGTATCATTAGTCCCAGCAGGCCTTGCTCACCAGCCTTCTCCCACACCTCCCTGCTCACCTGACCCGCCTTCTCCCATCTAGAATGAGGAAAAAAGGATCATAGTGAGGCGGGGAAAGACTAAAAATGAAGGTTTAGTTATAAATATATTTGTGTCATTGTGTCTCTTTGTGGTTGTTTTGTGTGTCTGCGTTTGTCTGAGTAACTTTGCCACAAAAAAACAAAACATTCACTTCAAACACAGGCTCTGGCCAAGGGGCCCCCTGACCCCCGGGCCCAGTAGTCCTGTTCAGAAATCAAACCATGCTTCCACCTACTCTTTGTGATATGGAATCACTTCCTCCTGAAAGAAGCGCCGGGCACTTTGTCTGAAGAGATCATGGTCCTCGTTGAAGATCCGGCGGGTCCCAATGTCCATAAGGGTCTTGGCGCTGGAGGTCTCTGAACGGATCGGGGGGACAGGCTTAACCACACTGTGCTGCAGCCTAGGAGGAATTACAGAAATTCAAAATTACACTTTTCTTGAAAGCCAGCAAGTTGTTGATTTGCCCACCCATGACGAATAAATTCACATTGGTAAAGCAGCAGGAGAAATTGGGAAATGTGATATTAATTTTAAGAAGCAGTAGGATTGAAACTAATGATTATTTTCATTATTATTTATTCACATATGTGTCAATTATTTTCATTGATTATAAAATATTATACTAAAAATGAAAAAAGTTAATTATAGCTTCATAAAGCCCAGCGTAAAGTCATCATGTGTCTTCTTTTGTGCAACCAACAGTTAAAAACCTAAAGAAATTCCATTTATATTCACGTAAGAGAAAAAAAGCAGCAGGTCCTCACAGTTCCAGTCTGGAAATTGTTTCTGCTCTAGATGTATAGGCCAGCAATTTGATTATTTTACACAACTACAACTGATTAATAAGTTGATGGTTAAAATATCCTGCAACTTTGAGAAGTTAAAGAGAATACATTTAAATATAGTTATTTAAAAATAGCTAAAGCAAAGATGTTCACATTGAATACTACTACACAATTTGAGAAACTGTCATACTTTAACTTTTTTGAACACAATTTGCAGCTTCTGATTCAGTAGTTAAGGGGATTCTGTTATGGGAAACTGAGGAAGCTGAGCGAGCGATCCTCAGTTTTTTGCACCCCTTACTGCTGTGAAAGAGAGACATTTTAGTAAAACTTAAACATTATGCGAAACCCACTTTCAAATTTGTATAACCTTTATCGTAATTTGTGAAAATCTGAGAAAAAGGGGAGATTTCTCTACTTCCCCCCCCCCCTCACATCAGACCAGGTTCAGATCAAAAACCACTGTATATAAACATCTGCATAAGAGAAAAGGATCAACATTAATAGCCAATGGTAACTTACATGGTGATCAGCCTCCTTTACCTGTCATGGTTGTTTTCTTGTTTGTTTTTGTATTGTAGAAAACACTTAATGGCTTATTTCCACAACCCGAAACATAAAACGGTGTTTAAACAGTATTAGATTACAAGAAAAGCCAAAAGAAAACAGGTAATTGTGAAGAAGAAGATATGAAAGGAAGCATTGAGGCACCTTTCCTTAGCTTTTAGAGAATTCGAACAGCTCTTATCATTGGCTGCCACTGAATTACTTCCGATTCACCCCGCTCTCCACTTGTCCACAGACAGGTCACGTTGTTTTTACAAAACCAATAGATCTGGAGATTTTACGAATTTGAAAGTGGATTTCAGTCAGCTTTAAGGCTTTGCCTAAAATGTCACAACAGTAAGTTTCCCAAGGTTTCCCCTTAAGACAATTAATTTAACGTTACACATTGTTTGGATTTTCAAATTCGACCTTTATCTGTTTTAAAAGGGCAGTGTGTCGAGGGTTGTTGCGACCCAAGTCTACAGCTGCACGTCGATTCCAGTCAACAAAATATATTATCAGAGTAGTCTAGTCTACAACTAATTCATTAAACAATGTGTTGGAATTTCGGCCTGTACAGATAACTCTCGTAGCTACTGAAACATTTGTTCATCTTAAAAGAAACAGGCTCTTACTTGAAAAATACACAAAAAAATTATTAAAGCTGTGTTTCACCTTGCAGGAACCGCAGAGAGTCCTTGCCCGGAAACATTTCTCAGCCCCAAAAGACAAGTTCTGATCATTTTTATAAACTACGGTCACAAACTAACATGGGAAAGACCCAAGCAAACAAGATAAAGGTCGTCTGAGTGAGATTCACTTTATAGCCAGTCAGTGGCTCCTCCTACAGGGTTGCTGCAACAGTTAGGCTACTTAAACCATAAACATTTGCTCTGTGTTGCAAAGTAAATACCTGCAAGCAGGCCTACTTTTTCTTGGTTTTAGTTCTGTTTGTTGACACTATATTTCATTTAGGCTACATGTAATTTAGTTCAAATGAAATTAAAATGTGACTTTGAAGGGAAATCTTTGCATAAAGCAACAATACCACACTGTGAAAAATACTCTATACACGTAAAAGTATGTAAGGATTATGATCAGCAAAATGTACTTAAGGTAAGTTCTCATTATGCAGTAAAATGTTTCCTGTCAATGTTTTACTATTGTATTTATTATATTACAGCTGCATTAATGCGTATGTTGCATATTACTGCTATAGATGTTTATGGTTGATTTCATTTGAACTACTTTATATCCTGTTGGGTCTTTAATCTACAGCAATGCATCATATTCTGTAAGATCATCATATGTTTGTAACGTCGCTGTCCTGCTGCAACGTATCTCTAAAAATTCAACTTTCCGTGAGATCAGAAAAACAGCTCTGTGTTCTGTTTTGTGATGATGCGTTTTGCAGCTGATCCAAGGGGGGAGTGTGTAGGATAATGTTCTCAATCCATTAATAAATACTTACATTTTCAGTTTATCAGCATAATTCAAATAAAAAAAAATCTCCAAATTCGGAGAGATACGTGGTTTTCACTGGACAGGAAGGGTATGAAAAATGTAGACCTAATCTGAGAAGCGAGACTAGTAACTACAGCCGTCCTACAAATGCAGTGAGTCTGAGGTGTACTGAGAAGTACAAGTAGCCTACCTCAGATTTGTACTTCATTACAGTACTTACAAGTAAATATACTTAGTTAAATTCAACCACTGTATAAAGTATTCCCACTCTAGAGGAAGGTTTTGTTCGCGACAGCAGCAGCAGAGTGAGACCTCTTTCTCTTATTCTTTTAGGGCAAACGTCTTCCTCTACTAAACCCTGTAAAGGTAATCTGCTTTACTCTGACCCCTATTGGTAGGAAGACAGTTGTTGCGGAAATGACGTGTTGTGTTAACAGAAATTATTTCTGCAGAAAGTAAAACATATGTGATTTTTCTTCTGTTCTTTTTTTCCCATAAAAATAAATAATCTATGTGTGGTGCAAAAATTAATCTGTATTTTAATGAGTCAAAATGAGAGGTTTTGATCTTTGCATGTATCTTTTATTTTGGCATATGAAGATCAATAATATGGAAACTTTATTGGAATAAAAATGATACAATCTTTCATTACTATATACATGTATTTCACCACATGTATGTGGTGGCAGAAAATTGTTTAAATACAACATCCTGGCTGTTCTTAAAAGTAACATGAACTGTGTGATGCTGTGTAATAAAAGTGTGTCCACAAGGGAGCAGACTCTCTCAGATCTTTGAACTCGTCTGTCCCAAGCTGCAAGAGTCCTGCATTGAATCCAGAAAACCACTAGTATAATAAAGTTACACAGTGGGAAAATGTGTATGGTAAAGCGTGTATATTTTTTTAAATCCATCGACTACTGAACTGTCCTTGGCAATAATTTTGATCAAAACAATTAAATATAACCACTGTTGTCCCTCAGCGTGTTGTCAATGTAAAGTATTCGGAACACAAATCATTAACAGCTCTTGCTCTCTACTACAAGTCTAGTGTGTTTTTTAAGTTTTGAAAGATTACGTTGCCTACCTTTTTAAGACCTTGAACACAAGTCCCTAAGTTATTTGATATATCTGACACCCTCCTGAGATGCTTTTTAAAATGTGGGAGCCCTGTATACCAGATACATTGTCTATAGTCCACATCTTGAATCTTCACTGTCTAGTTTTTTTCCTATTTACAAATTAATGTATGAATTATGTAACATGACCTCTTGCATTTGTTCCGTTTGAGATCTGAAATGATCCCCATTGATACTGTAAATGTATTATTTTTACTTCTGCAGTAACTTGTATTTATATTGGCATTATGTATGTTTAAATTTGCCTGTTTGTATGACCTTTGGTGAGGAAAATTAAAAATAAATATATATTTGTAGCACTTTAAGTGTTCAGCACAAATCATTAAACACACAAAGCAGTAGTAACAAATACCACAACCACATTTTTCTTTAATCATGGACTAGTTTTAGCAGGATATTTCAGTGTTCTGCACTTCTAAGCAGACAACTAAACTTCACCTTAGAGCTACCTTACGTAACTTTTGCCTAAGATCAGCCACTTTGACTACAAGTAGCAAATGCAAAACAATGAAACCTGCTGAAATGTAGTGTAACATTAGTACATTTAAGAAGAGTTACAGAGTGCAAAAAAATCTCCCAGTAATGTCTGTTACCCATTTATATCTACCTAAAGTTTGTAAACATTAGCTACCATCTGCTGCCGGTCATACAAGACCAATTAAGGCTGTAAGGCAGCAACTCCTCTGAGTGTACTGAATACAACATTTCTAGGATCCAAGATCTGTGTTGGGCATCTAACAGTGTCCATCATCAAAAGAGCCCAGCATGTGCCACCTCAGGAAGTACAACTTCCTCAGGAAGTGCTGATCCAGTTCCACACTGCAATCATCCTGTCTGTTCTCTGTACATCTTAAAATTTACAGAAACCCTTGACATTGTATGATGGTCATTGATGCCTTATATATTTATACATATATATATTGGCTACAATATACACCTACTTGTATCTTTATAATAGTTCCATGTTTACTTTTACCTATCTTTGTTCAGCTTGTTTTTGTCCACTCCTAGCTTACTGTAAATTATTCTTGGAACTGTGTGTACTTTTATAATCTCACTTTAACTTTGACATCCAAGAAGATTTACTGTTGCCCTATACTAAAGTCACATCTACAACTGTATATGGGCAATGAAAGATCAAGAATCAGCCCAGATGGGATGTACGTTGGAAAAGTTTATTCTGAAATGAACAGAGTGACAATAAATACAACTTTTCAGGGAAGCGGGAGACGTTTGGCGGTCTATCCACGACCAGCACCTTTGGCTTTGCTGGGCCAGCGATGGCGTGACTGAATGAGGTGGCGGTGGGAAGGGAGGGGTCTACCCTCACTTGATGAGCGGTCACCCCTTCTCCCCCGTTCCTCACCCCATGTGGTGAGTGGAGACGCGCCCCGGGGGGGGGGGGGGGGGGGAGTAGAGGCCAAGTGATGAGGGGGTCTACAATAGAGAGGCGATGGTGATGTCCCGAGATAAGAGGGTTTGAGACGAAAGGAAAACAAAATAAACAACAAGATGGGTTTGCTTCAACATCCCTTGTACATAGTCCTTGTCTTTCCTTGGTTGGTCTTTGACACAGTGTAGATGTCCTGGACACTGTTGGGCTGTCTGTAGGTGAGCTACAGTTTCTTCAGCACTCCCACTGCTGGCCTCTTACACAGACATGATGTGCTTGACGAAAGCTGGAGAAAGACAAACCCATTTGTTTAAATATTTGACATAATGTACTAATCAAAAATAAATAAAGGCGAGAAGGCATGCTGGGAAATCAAAGCTTACCCTCATAGTGCACACTGCCGTTCTCATCCTCCTGGCCAGCCATGAGGGCATCAATCTCGGGCTCAGTCATCTTCTCTCCTGTAGACACACAAGGATCCATGTCAGGAACTCTCCATTTCACGCACATGCTCGCCCACTTGTGCAATGCTAAGCAAACTATATTTGTACACTTCTATATTTGGGAGAAGGCCACTTTGAGACTCACCCAGGGTGGACAGCACGATACGCAGCTCAGCGCCCATGACTGTGCCGTTGCCCTCCTTGTCGAAGACGCGCAGACCCTCAACGTAGTCATCATAGGTTCCCTTCGGGAGGGCGTCGACCTGCTTCAGCATGGGCAGGAAAGCGTCGAAGTTGAGCCTCTTGTTGGCCATGTCTGTTGAAAAATGTGACATGGAGGACACTGTTAATAAACATGCTTTCATCTTAGAGGGGGTAAAAATTCCCGTCAATGTTTTGGAGTCAGAAAGGCCAGTTTGACCAGCTGTCGACAACAAGCTTACGTCTAAGCATAAAGTGAGGCCATGTCACGTTCAAGAGAAGAAGTACCACATTCTGTATCTTACAAAGAATGCCTGTGCTTGTCTGCATTTCGCACCCGTGCACTGGGGTCTTACCGTCAGCGGTTGGGTTGCCCAGAATCTTTGTAACGTCCTTGTTGGTGGGGTTCTGGCCCAGAGCGCGCATAATGTCAGCCACCTGGTTGTAGGCCACCTGGCTGTCACCAACTCTGTCAAAGAGACCAAAAGCCTCCTTGAAGTCTGGGCCAGGAGGGGAGAGTCAAGAGAGAACTTTGAGTTACAAAGTACTGACACAATTTACAGGTCAAAAAGAACAAACATGATTTTGTATCTCAGTCTCCTGAAATCCTCAGTTCTAGTGCTCATGATGCTTAATTGTCTCCACACTAGAAATCTATCTGCCTATGAGGCGCTTTGGAAGAAGACCTTAATCAAATTGCAAGTGTAAATTTCTATTACAGCGTTCTTAGTCATCTGTGGCAGCTATGTGGTATCACACTGTGTTGGGGGATCAAGGACAGCAGAAGCCACATACTTTGTGGCATTGTTCCCAGCTAAGTGGGAGCGACAGCTGTACCCGAGCAGAGAAGAGGAAAGTACCGAGACTGGGGCTTTAACAAAGGTTAGCTATTTCTAGGAATCCAGGAAGCCGTCTCAAAGTGACCTTTTTGGCAGATTAATGGTCTTGTGTGGCTTCCGAACAGCAGCAGCAGCAGCAGCAGCAGCAGGGAACAGCTGTACTAGCCCCCACCCCCCAACCCCTCGCTCCCTCCTGCCTCCAGTTGCATTTGGGAAGAATTTAGGGCGACATCGCGAGCAAACTGATACACCCCAACAGAGTAACCCGCACCTTATAGGGGCATGGCCCCATGGACCTGCTCGAGTTAAACATAAGAATGCTGACTGCGGCGTAATCAACA